CAATTGTTTTTTATATTTTAGCTATTTTTTATATATTTAAAAAAATTAATACTTAAAATTTTATGTTGGCAACGTAATTATTTACATTACAATAATTTAATTTTATGATTGTTCTTACTTTTAATTATGTTTAAAATTATCATTTTTTTAATATGTTATGACATTTTTTATTTATGTTACATCAAATTATATTAATTTTACATTTTTTTTCACTTTTTTACATTACCTATTTGTTTTTTACATTTTAGCTATATTCTTTATATATTTAAAAAATAATAAGTAGTTAAAATTTTAAATAGCTAATATAATTATTTATGTTACAATAATATATTCTTATAGTTGTTATTATATTTCATTACATTTAGATTATCATAACTCTTCTTTAATATGTTGCGACATTTCGTACTCATTTTACGTCAAATAATACTAATTTTATATTTTTTTCTCACTTGTTTATATTATTATTTTATTTTTTTAATTTTTAGCTATTTTTCTTATATATATACAAAAATAATAATTAATTAAAATTTTACATTGCCATCATAATTATTTATATTATAATAATATATTTTTATAATTATTTTTACTTTCCATTACATTTAGAATTGCTATAGCTCTTTCTTAGTATTTTGCGATACTTCTTACCTATTTCACATCAAATTATACTAATTTTACATTTCTCATTTGTTTACATTATCAATTTATTTTTTAATTTTTAGTTATTTTTCTTAAATGTTTACAAGAAAAATAATTAATTAAAATTTAAAGTTGTCAACATAATTATTTACTTTACAATAATATTTTCTTACAATCTTTTATTTTTCATTACGTTTAAATTATCATAACTCTTTTTTAATTTGTTCCAACATTTGTTATCTATTTTAAGCCAAATGATATTAATTTTACGTTGCCAATATAATTATTTACCTTATATAATATATTGTTATAACTATTCTTACTTTCCATTATGATTAGAATTGTCATAATATTTTTTAGTGTATTACAACAATTCATACCCATTTTATGTTAATGATATTAATTTACGTTTCTTCTCACTATTTACATTACCAATATGTTTTTTTTTTTTTTTAGCTTTTTTTTCTATGTTTAAAAATAAATAATTAAAATTTTACGTTACAATAATTTATTTTTATGATTGTTCTTACATTTAATTATGTTTACAATTATAATAGCCATTTTAGTGTGTTATGACACTTTTTTTCAATATTACTCTAAATGATACTAATTTTACATTATCTATTTGTTTTTCAATTTTTGGCTATTTTCTTTATATATTTAAAAAATAATAATTATTTAAAATTTTACGTTGCTAACATAATTATTTACGTTATAATAATATCTTTTTACAGTTATTCTTACTTTCTATTACATTTAGAATTGTTATAACTTTTCTTAGCATGTTATAATACTTTTTATCCATTTTTCACTAAATGACACTAATTTATATTTTTTCACACTTATTTACATTACCAATTTATTTTTTAATTTATAGCTATTTTATTTATATATATATATACAAAAACAATAATAAATTAAAATTTTATATTACCATTTTAGAGACCCATCTGTGTCCAGAGTCAACCATTGTTTTTTTATTATATTATAGTATGTTATAGTATCGTATATTGTAGGATAGTATATTATGCTATAGTACATTATATTATTATTATATTTTATTATATCATGTTATGTCATTATTATATCGTATTTATTATTATTATTATTTCTTTCTTTTCTTCCAATCCGTGATCATAAAATTAGGAAACTGAAATCTGAATTCAATTCACACAGTCAAAGGTTTTATTTTATAATCGGGGATTTCAGATTCAATCCAAACAGATTGCTGAAACCTAGGCTAAAATCTTGCTTAAGCAAAATACAATCCCAAGATCAAGCCTAGATTGATTCTGTTCGATCCCTAAAGTCCCTACTATGGATTGCCTATAAATTGGATAAGGTTAAAGAGAACAGGACATGGTTGATTTTGGGTGAGAAAAAGCTTGATGTGTTTTGGAAAAGCTTTTTAAGAGTTAGATTTTTTAGATTTTGGTTCTAGCAGTTTCTGGGTTCGAGATTTTAGAGAATGAAAGGGTTAGGATTTTTGGTTTATATTCTGGATTGTTGGGTTTGAGATTTTAAAATTCTGGGATCAAGGTTGAATTTTGGGAAAAATTTTGAAGAAATCTAAAAAATTTCTGGAAATCTAGGTTTGGGATGAATTTTTGAATTTTTTGATAGAATTTTCGGCAAATGTTGAATTTTTCGGTAAGATTTCGGTGAGTTTTCTCGAATCTAATGGGTTTTTTAGTTTCTAGTGGAATGTTCTTGGGTTGTTCTTGGCTATATCAGAAAGAAGTCAGAGGAATTTTCGAGTAGAAAGAGAAGGAACCAAGGGCTTCTGAAAGAAAATACTAAAGATTGGCTTTTATACTTAAATCAAAATGACATCGTTTCTGCATAGCCAGGATCTGTACACCACCTGTTTGTCGACTCGATCCGATCGTTGATTTTTTTTTCTATTTTAATTTTAATTTTTGATTTAATTTAATTTAATTTAATTATTTTAAGTTATTATTTTTATTTTATTTCTATTTTTTTATTATTATTTTACTGATTTTTATTATTCATTTATTTTACTGAGTGACTTATTTATTAAAATAATGTTGCAAAAATTCCTTTTTATTTACAAAAAACAAAAGAAAAAATTTAAAATTAAAAAATAAAATCTTTACAAAATAAATTCATGAATTCTACCAAACTAATGGAGAATTTTCATGAATTTATTTTTAAATGGAATCCACCAAATTATTGAAAAATTTCATAAATTATTTTTCAAATAATAAAAAAATAATAATTTTTTATCCTTCAAATTATTAAAGGATTGCTTCTTAAATTAAGTTCTATTAAATTATTGGGAGACTTAATGAATTTTCTTAAAAAGTAAAAATAAATATTTTATAAATATTTTCGAATAAAATCTCGCTAAACTATTAGAAGATCTACCTTAAAGTAAGTCCTACCAAACTATTGAGAAACTTTACTAATTTTCTTAAATAAAATGCTACAACAATTTTGATGAGAAGCCTCTTCAGAGTAGAACACTAGTCTCCATGAATACTTTTGAGATGAGAGGATGCTTTTAAACTATTACCAAACTATTAGGATAATTTTAAGGTTAATTCTCAATATTAAATATTTTGGTAAATATAAATATATTTTAAGGCTTGGATAATTTGAATTCAAATTGGTACCATCATTTGAATGTGTATTGTAGGGTACTGTAACTTTTCTCATACATAACCATACTCTTTAACCTAAAATATGATTTCGTGGATTAGAATATATTATTTAAAGATACTTAAGTCAATCTTAGGACTTTTCTTTAAATGGAATAGATTTGATTAGGTGGCTAATCATACCTAAACAAAAAAAGATTAGTGGTGATTTCTTTAATCTATGTCTAACAGTAGGTATACGGATCTATACATTGTAACAACCATCATAATTATTTATATTACAATAATATATTTTACATTTGTTCTTACTTTCAATATGTTTAGAATTAAAATAATTCTTTTTTAGTGTGTTATAACACTTCTTTCTTATTTTATGTTAAATGATACGAATGTTACGTTTTTTTTTAACTATTCACGTTATCTATTTTTTTATTTATTAGATATTTTTTATATATTTATAGAAATAATAATTAATTAACATTTTACTTAGTATCTTAATTATTTATATTATAATTATATCTTTTTACGATTATTCTTATATTTTATTAAGTTTAAAATTATCATATTTAATTTTTAGGTGATACAACACATATTTTACTCTAAATAATACAAATTTTACAATTCCTCTAACATGAAACTTAATAAATTTTTAATTTTTTTTCTAAAATATCATTTATTTTACATTACTTTTTTCTTTAAAATTTTTAACTATTTTTTGTATATTTAGAAGAAAAATAATTAATTTAAATTTTACGATATTAATTTAATTATTTACGTTAAAATAATTCTTCTAACGTTTTTTCTTACATTCAATTATATTTAAAATTTTCATAACTCATTTTTTAGCGTATTATGACACTTTTATCTTATTTTAAATAAATTGATACAAATTTTATTATTTCTCTCATTTTATTATATTAATAATTTTTATTTTAATTTAAAATATAAAATTTTTTAAGCTAATTTTTTTTGAAAAAATTTTTATGTTAATATTTTTTAATTTCTTTAAAATTATTTTTATAATATTTTTAACTATTTTAAAAAATACCAATCATATTAAATTTTTTTTAAAAATGAATATTTTTAACTATTATTTTTTTATTTTTAAGTAATTTTATAAATATGTAATACAACAAAAAATAAAAAACTCTTACATAAAATGAATATTGTTTAAATTATATAAAATTTAATAAATTTTATTTTACATTCTTATTTGTTGATAAGCAGATTTTATCTCTCTCTATTTTAAAATTTAATCAAAATTACGATTTAATTATATAAATCTAATAATTATTATTTGTTGGTGTTATTAGGGTTGGTAACGGGTCAACTCGAAGAAGTTTTTGCTTGTTCTAAATCTGACTCGATTTTATAATCATAAAATTCGAATCTGACTAGACCTAAAATTTCTTTTATTTTTTTTATACTCGAATTTGATCTGATCCGATAATTGTATAAATCATATTTGATTTGATTCGATTCGAAATTAATAAAATATTATTTTTAAAATATAAAATATTATCTTTTAAACATAAATATATAATTATATAATTATATAAATATATATAAATAAATAATTAAATAAATAATTTAAAAAATAATTTTTATATAATATTAAATCAGATCTAATCGAATTTACTTAAAATTCGAATCTAATTTGATATTAATTTTTTTTAATATTATTTAATTTAAAATTTAATTTATAAAAAAATTTAACTTTATAAAATTGGATTGAATCGAAACTCGTCCAAACGGATTAAGCTGCTGACCCCCAGTTACATATTTGGGCGGTACAGAAATCGAATAGGAAGCTGTCCAAAATTGGGGGAACCAGAAGCCGGAAAAGCATTGCAAAAATAGCCGTCGCGCAGTTGAACTTCATTTTCCCAAAATCCGCGCTAAGACTTCCACATCCACAGGTGCGTTGGTAACGTTGCGTCTGTTTCTTTCTTGTCCTAAAAGAATCTCCACTTAATTTTTGCAAAGATTAGGGGTCTTGAATCTTAATTTCATCTCTCTTTAGTTCATTTATCTCCTTTCCTTTCTGATTTGGGTTTTTATCTCCATAGCTTCTCTTAATTTTCTTTGAAACTTTAAAAATAAATTAATCCAAATTGAATCAGTTATTTCCTGAACTTACGTTGAAATCTGAAATTAACTCTCGTACAAATTTCGTTTGGGGTTAGGGGGAGTTTTTTTTTTTTTTTTTTTTTTAAATCTGGGCATGGATCCTTCAAAGGGAGAACCAAACCAGAAAAAAGCTCCTAAAGCAATGGCAAAGAAGGAAACCGAAGAGTTCCAATTCGTTGTGTACAACACCATGACTCAGCAAAAAGAGGTGTTCAAGCCCAAAATCCCCGGAAAAGTTGGCATGTACGTCTGCGGTGTCACTGCCTATGATTTCAGCCACCTTGGCCATGCTCGTGCCGCTGTTGCCTTTGATGTCCTTTACAGGTTTGTATATATATATATATATAATCCTTTATTTTTTTTTTATATAATATATATATTTATATAGAAATTGATTGCTGGCTAAATTGTGGATTGGAATTATATAGGTACTTACAACACTTGGGCTATGAGGTTACTTATGTGCGGAACTTTACTGATGTCGATGATAAGGTTTGAATTTTCATTTGATCTTTTCTTTGGTTTTCTATTACTGCTTTAGTTGGGAGTAATGCCATTTTTGTTTTTTTTGATGTTGAAGTGATACTTTCTCATTTTAATGCAATGCATTAAACTTGATTTAAATTCATTTGCACCTCTGGGAGGTTTGAAACCTCAACCTAGCTTATGTTTTCTCCTTTTAAATTTATTTGAATAATTTCCTTGCCAAATATGTGACAATTGGTCTGAACAAAAGCTTTGGGGCTTCTGTATAAAATGTTAATTTGTTTAGAACTTGTTTAAGAGCATTCTGTCCTGCTGAGCATAGTTTTTGCTGCCAATATTTTACCACATTTTTCCTTTACTTTTTGACTACTGGTCCATCACTCATCTCTCAACAACACATTATGTCTTTGTCAATTTTTTGTTGGGACTGCTACTTATTGGAGTTTTGCAGATAATTCGTCGGGCAAATGAGACAGGGGAAGATCCATTATGTTTGAGTGACCGATACTGTAAAGAATATAATGTAGATATGGCTGATCTACAGTGTCTGTCTCCTACACATGAGCCACGTGTGTCTGATCACATTGAGCAGATCAAAGATATGATAACTCAGGTTTTCTTCCTCTGAATATGCTTGTTTTGTTTTATAGGCATATAGATACCACAATTCCTCTCTCCTTTTTGCAACCTTGCGTCTGTCTCTCTCTCTCTCTCTTTGTGGAAATGTAGTGCTACTTTAGGGGAGTTCTCCTAGCATAAGTTTATGCTCATAGAAAACTCTTGATAACACTATGTATATATATATATATATATATATATATATATATATATGCATGTGTGTATGAATGTATTTTGCATTAACAAAAAGATAATACATTTAAATGGTAATATTTGGTAGTTATATTGTCAGCTCATTTACCATATTGTTTTGATAGAAAGCTATTATCTGGCATATCATTGTCATCTATTGTATGCTTGTAATTTATCTACATCTGCCCTATGATTATCAATGATGTAGCCAAAGGAAGTGTTTGCAGGCATGCACACGGCACCCACCTTCACATACCTGTGTCTGACATGGACATGCCGCTGACATGCCATAATACGTATGGGACACAAATAAAAAAATAACTTGGACATGGTCCCAACATAGTCATGACACGTTAGGACACTGTTAGATGGCAGAAATTGGTAAAAACAAAAGATGGAGACTGCAGGGTTTTTTTTTAGATCTAGGCTCTTTTAAGTTGGATTTTTTTTTGGAAAATCTAGATGGATAGGAAGAAAGAGGAGGCTATGAGGAGTTTTTTAATGATTTTGGAGGAATTCAATGGTGAATGGCAGTTGGCGGTGGAGGATGGTGGTGTAGGCAGCTGCCAAGAACTGGGTTGGAAACGGAAGAAAGTAAAAAGAAAAGGAAAGGGAGAAAGAAGAAGAAGAAAGAAAAAAGAAAAAAGAGAAAAGAGAAGGAAAAAAAAAAGGAAGGGACAAAATGGTGTCGGTCCCATTGTCTTGATTTTAACAATTGGGGTGTGGAAGACATGTGAATCTTTCAAAATAAGATAGATGTAGCATTTTTTCGTTAGCAAGTAGATAAAAAAATAAAAAAATAAAAAATAAATGTAACCTTGAAAAGTTAAATAATGAAACTTTTAATTCTAAAATATATAACTACTCCACAAATATTATACAAAGAAATATATAAATATTATATAAATAGTGTATAAATAATTGATGTATAAATATTTTTTACGTAGAAAAATATATAAAAATATTTTTTATTGATGTGTCCTATCATATGCATGTCCTCATCTTTAAAAAATTAGCATGTCATTATATCCATGTTATGTCATACCCGTATTGTGTGTCCGTGTCCATGCGTCATAGGCAAGGACCCATGCTCTGTTCTTATAAGTGGCATTTTAGAAGTTTTCCTTTTAATATTGAGCATAAAGAAGTAGAAGAGCACTTTTCAACATTTTGGAATGCTGCCACTTCATATTGAGGTGAAGTTACCTAATTACATTGTTGATTGTTGTTGAGCTGCTGGACATGATTTTTGTTACATATATTCCATGGAGAAATGCTATGTTTTCTGAGAGCTAAAATTGACACCAACTTTACCTTTAAAATGTATTGCAATAATACACGCACTAGATTTTGTCTCAATGTTTCCTTTTATTAATTTTGCTGTTGTGTTTTAGCCAAATATTGCTGATGACATTTTATTTCTTTTGCCTCTTGCTTTGTGTAAAGGCAGTGCTTCCTACGCAGATTTTCCTCCAATAACTTTCCCTGTATTTTCATTCTGCAGATTATAAACAAAGACTTTGGATATGTGGTTGATGGGGACGTGTTTTTCGCTGTTGATAAATTCCCCAATTATGGCAAGTTATCTGGGCAGAGGCTGGAAAACAATAGAGCAGGTGAACGTGTTGCCGTTGACTCAAGGAAGCGTAATCCTTCTGACTTTGCATTATGGAAGGTGAGAAACCCACTTAACTTCCTAGTATAGTTTATGGGTGTAATCAAGTCGAGCCTAGCCAATAGGCTCAAGCTTTGTTCGTTTAAAAACCTCAAGGCTTGAGGTTGGTTTGATCTTGGTTGAGTTTTAGTTTTTTGTGCTCAAGCTTGGGTTGAAAAATAATTGAGCTACTCGAACTCCCATCGATTAGGCTCAGTTATCATAAAATTTATATAAGGAGCAGACATTTAAATTGTGTTCATGGCTGCATTTTTTTGTAGCATCACGTTAAGTGCATTTGTGCACGAAATGGATACCATTTCCAGCATTTTGATTGTGAATTTTTTTGTCAATTTTGTACAACTTGCTATACAACAAAGTAACTTGGAAGCTCAAACATAGACACAAGACACTAGTATGATACAATATGCACACAACAATACAACAGTTTTCAAAAAATTAGAATGCAACACAATGGAATATGATATGAAAAAGATAATATATAAAGTATATTTATTATATATAATAATTTCATTAATTTTAAATAAAATAAAGATAATATGCAATATAAAGTTCTTAAATAGTATAGAATCTATTTAAAAAATTTTGTTTAATTGGACTTTTATTAATATATTTGTATCAAATATAATTCAAATTAATCTAACCCACTAACTTTATAAGTTTACAAATTGTGACCTAATAAATTTTAAAAAGTTTTAACAAAAAGTGGTGTTAGCTTTTTAGGTAAAATGGTGATTCAAGAGGGAGGTGAATTGGATTTTTCCAAGTTCCACCCAAACAATGATTTCAAAATAATTGAATGAAAAATTACAATCAATATCAAAATATGATGCAAATGATAACAACTGATATATTTAGAAATAAATATAATCAACAATGAAAATAAAGAGATAGGGATTGAGAAATCAAATACAAAGATTTATAAAGGTCCAGTCCTTTTCTACATGGCACCTACATCCTCTCTTTTTGGTTGTCCACACCAAGACTTCAATCCATTAATCTTGAATTAAAAATGCAGCCCTATCTTTTTTCTCTCAAAGGTTTAAGATAGAAACCTCTACACTTTATAGTATTTTACCCATTCTCACTACAAAGCTCTCAGGAGGATACGTCACCTCTTGTTCTTTTCCACCTTTGTATATCAAATGTAATTTTGTAAACAATAGAACAATCTCTCTAAGGCTAAGTGTTTGCTAAGTTTAAGTACAAGGAAATGATGAATGAACAACAAATATGATTTGGATACAATAAACACAAAGATATAGACTTTAAAGCTCTAAAACTCTTGATTTCTTTGAGAGAATGAATATATGGCTTGTTTGATTTTGCTCTCTTGATTTATCAACCTTCTTGGTGTGTTGGAATGCCCAATTTATAGAGGAATTGAAGAACTAACCGTTGGGGATGGTTTGGAGTTAAAAAAAAAGGTTGAAGCTTGAAAAAACTAGCCGTTAGAACTTTTCTGGGCATAGGGGATTGATTGGTTCTGATAGGGGATTAATCCTGTGCCTTACTCGATCGATCCTTTCTTGTAGGGGATCGATACCTTTTGGTGTTTTTCAAATCTATTTTGTTTTTGCAAGAAAAATCATTCGATCCATTACAAGAGGGGATCAATTGCTTCAGCCAGGGGATCGATTTGGTCAAGCTGGGCGGTTGTATCATATTTTGCACTCTACTCACTAATTTGATCATATATTGAATTATACAATTTCAAATAAAAAACCGTTTGAAGATTTAGAAATTAGACTTAAAGGGCTTTCTATCCATATAAAATTCATCACCTAATTCATTTTATATGAATTATAGTGAATTTTCAAAACTACCCTTTGTGCAGTTTTAAGATAACTGTAAAGTGTCTAGTAAAAATTCAAAATCTTTTTTTAAGAAATTTGGATTTTGATTTTGTTTTTGTTTGATCCATTAGAAAGTAGACTCAAAGAGCTTTCTAACCATATAAAATTCAAATATTAAAACTTTGTGAATTAATACAATAAAGTTAAACAAGTTCAATGTTGAAAAATTTTGTTCTTGTAAAACAACTTTCTTAAGTTAATCCATTTCTCAAAATCAATATTATCAAAATTTTATTAAGTCCAAAATGAATAAATTCACTTTAAAAACAACAATTGAACTTTTATTTAAGCTCAAATAAATAATATTTAAAGATAGTTTTGATTTGAGAAATAAAAAAAAAATAAAGAAATATTTGTTTAAACTTTGAAAATCATTTTATTTATTTAATACAAAAATATAAAACTTTAGAACATATACTAAATAAATCTTTTTCAAAATTTTGATCAACCTTATTTAGCCTAATGTTCTGTCATTTCAAAATAAGATTAATTCAAGGCTAACAATCTTTTAAGACCTCAGGGGCTACCAACTCTCCTAGAAGCAATTGCTGTTAGGAAAGCGCATATGCTACCCTTATAATGCTTTTAGCATGCACAAGCACCCATGGCTTTCTAGCACGTGGAGTTGATGTACCCGGCCAACCTTTGATCTGCTAACAATCTCCTTTTCCCCCCAGCAACACCACTGGGACTCGAATCTGTGATATTGGCTCTAATACCATTTTACCATTTTTAAGACCTTAGGTGTTACCAACTCTCTCAAAAGCGATTGCTGTTAGGAAGACGCATACCTTAGCCTTATAGTGTATTCAACACACACAAGCACCCACAGCATTCAAGCACGTGAAGTTGATGGACGTAGCCAACCTTCGATCTGCCAACAAGCGGCTTCACCCAATTTTAAAGGTTTTCTTTTTATTTTTATTTTTCGTGAAACCCAAGTTATAGTTAATGCACTTTACCCCTATTACAAAGAGTGCATTTTTTCCATATTCCTCATCCCACACTAATAGACTAGCAACTGCTGCTTAGTACCATTCCTTCCCTTGATCATTTCACTTTCCAATCAATTTTTCATCTCTAATCTGAATATGAAATAGATTATGATGCGCTCAAACATTTCTTTCTTTTCTTTTGCATCAACCATTAAAATTTAGATGAAAAACACGTCTAAAAGAAAAAATGAACCCTAGATCTACAACTTACTAAAAAATCAGCAAATATAATTCTTAAAGATCAAAGAAGAAATTATTCAAGGTAAAATATGCGACACTTAAAATTACTTTTTGTTGTTTAAATTTTTGCAAATTTATAGTGTCAAGGACTTAATGTGGGAGAAAAGAGAGAACTTTTGGGTTCTAACTCGAAACATTTATCCATGACCATTTCACCTCTGTTCTTGAAAGTTGAGGGAGATGAGAATTGAGAGAAAGCTAAAAATCCTTTTGATTGCAAAGTAGGGATGGTGATGGTCATGGCTTTAGCGGTTCCTTGGTTGGCCATTGGGGTTTGGGAAGTAGACAAAGGAGGCGTAGGTGGAAGATTAAGGAGACATGGATTAGATGATGACTCAGTTTTGTAAGATAAAGATAGAGGTAGAGTGAGAAGGGCGGTTTTGGGTTTTGGAGAGAAAAGTAAGATGGATTGCATTTTTAAGAGAGTTTTGTTGGTGCAGGGGAGTTTGGTTTCAGCCGAACCAATTGGGTGTTTTTCTTTTATCAAGCTGAAAAATTAAGGGGGAAATTTTAGAGGAAAATTATTAGCTAAAATTGTGTTTAACTTTTGGCAAATTTTGATGATTTGGATAGAATGTTGGAAGGGAAGGGTTTGATGAGAGTTTTTTTTTTTTTTTTTTAATTTAGATGAAAAAATAATTTAAAAAAGTAATTAATGTTAAATGATTAATGTTGTAAATATTGAAGTAAATATATTTACTTAATTATAGGGTTGACTTTAGATAGCTTGATTTTAGGACCCAAACTAATTTGATTCTTTAGATTGATTTGATTCTCTGGCTTTTGTGTGTGTGTTTGTGTATGTTACACGTACTTTACTTCTTTGATATGGAATAGAAAGAACCTCCTTTACTTCTTCTTTATAACATGGGATTAGAGTAGGTTAGGCTTTGTTTTCCTTGTTACCCATTCTAAGTTTGTCATGTGCTAAACTTCTTTATTTCCGACCTACACGTGATGAAGCTTGTGTGGTAGTGTTATTCCCCATTTGTTAAGTCTTGGGTTGTCTTTGGCCTTACATTCAAGTTGGGTTTTTCTACTTATTAACAATTGGTTTTAGTTTAGATGCTTAACAATTAATATATCGAGTTTACTATTTCTTAATATTATAGTCATTTATTAATCTATATTTTTGGACATTATTTATTAATGTATGATTTGCATTTGTACATTTATTATTTGCTTTTCCTTTTGGTGTATGTATTTTGTTAATTTTTTCTTTTTAGTTTTAGATTAATGGAATTTTATTATTTTTGTGTAACTAACTAACTATTGAGATGTCATCCATTATTTAGTAAATTGAATATAATCAAATGATGAGATAAATGTTAAATTACTTAATGTATCAGAAAAATTTATATTAGTTCATTTAACAATCTATTACTTGTAAGATTAAAAACTAAAATTATGTGAAATATACAACTTTCTGAATTTAAATATTTTACTATAATGCTAAAAAAATTGTGAGTAATTCTTTTAATCATTTATAAAAGAACAAATGATGTTATAAACTACTTTGAATATCATAAAATAAGTTTGGCCGAAAAAAATCATAAAATAAGAATTTTTTATTATAATTATAAATACTTTGTTTTATAGAGAGTTGTGCAAATTTGAAAACAGATCACAATTGTGATAATTGCAATCAATGTGATGTTACTCATTATGTCTACAATTGTGCTGAACATGGTGCGATTGAGAACATGGCTATGGTTGTAATTTTAGTCCCTGGTTTGGAGAAGGATGAATAGTTTGATTATGAACTTGTTAGTCAATGCTACAACAAAAGGGGAATGGTGTTGTAAATTTAAAATAAGAACAAGAAGAAGAATTAGATTAAGAGAGTGAGAGAATACAATCTTGTTAGATATTAAGACATCTAGAATAATTGAAACTTATATTTTCAGTGAACTTACCAAAAATATGAAAGTGCATAAATATAATATATGAAACACAGACATGTTGGAATTCCCAATGTATTGGTGTCACATGTGTCGGACATGGATAAGACTGACATGCTGATATCTTACACAAAGGGACATGCCAAAAGATAATTAAAATATTTGAACATGGTCAAGGCACATAAAAGTAGGAAAATAGGCTAGACAGTAGTGAAAGGATTGTCAGGAAGAGAGGTAGAAGAGGAGAGAAATATTCAGAATATTTTGATTTGTTTTATATTTAGATTAGAGGTGAAAAATTGGTTGGAAGGCAAATGATTAGAGGGAATGGAAGGAGTTGCAACACTGAGCTAAAATAGATGGCTGTTTTTGTTGCGTTTGTAAGTGATGAGGAGTGGAGAAAATGAGTTTTTTATACTAGCACAGCATGGCATCAAACTATAAAATTGGGCTTGGCAAAAAAAAAGAACTTAAAAATTGTCTAAGCCAAGTGCGCTTCTTGTTTAAACTTTTTGATCAGATCAATTTGAATTATAAAGTTGTTGGATTAGATCAATTTGAATTATATTCAATACAAATATATTAATAAAATTTCAATTAAATGAATATTTTTTAAAACCATCCGGGCAAAAGAAATAGATTTCATTACCCCAAAATCTCCACATTATGTCCCCATCATATCAGAATAATGACTCAATTATCCCCAGATTATCCCTAATCAAGGACATTTGGCAAGCAATTGGAGCTTAATTTGCCAAATGACCTAAATTGGATTAAATAGTGGATAACTTTTATTCACTATGTTCTTGATTATATGTATTTTATTTAAAATTAATGAAAATAGATATACTAAGTATATATAATAATATTTTCCATTTTAGCATCTTGATGTGTCCTGCCCTAATATGTTGAAAATTTCTATATAACCTTGTCCGTATTGTATTATGTTAGAGCCATATTTGCATTGATGCTTCCTAGTGTCTAATTATAGACTTAAAAACTATTCCTTAAAAATGCTAGCGATGTGACTTTAACTAGGCATCTAGATATGAAGTACAAAGATGGAAAACCTAACTACAAAAATCAACCAATTATTTGTAAGAGTTGCAAAATACATATATTCCCTACAATAAATAATAACAAAAACATGCCAATTTTTTTAAAATTAAAGTTGCATGACATATAATGCCAAAACTTTGCATCAGTCAAATACCATTTACAATGTTGGCAACATTTCCAAATTCTGATATTTAGTAATTGTTTCAGGCTGCAAAGCCAGATGAGCCATCTTGGAACAGCCCATGGGGACCTGGACGACCTGGGTGGCACATAGAATGCAGTGCAATGAGTGCACATTATTTAAGCTTCAAATTTGACATTCATGGTGGTGGGCTTGATTTGATTTTCCCACACCATGAAAATGAGATTGCTCAGAGTTGTGCTGCATGCCAAGAGACTGATGTGAGTTATTGGATGCACAATGGGCATGTTACTAATAACAATGAGAAGATGTCAAAATCTTTAGGTAACTTTTTCACAATTCGCCAGGTAAAAAGTTAGGGCTTATTATGTGTTTGATTTTCCCCCCTCTGGTGAAAGTTACAGAACTAGTTTTCTCATATGAGTTTCTTTATTTGTGTTAATTTATGCATTTCTTCTAGATTACTGAGAAATATCATCCTCTGGCTTTGAGATACTTCTTGATAAACGCACACTACCGATCTCCTCTCAATTACTCTGTTGCGCAGCTGGAAGGTGCATCAGAAGCGGTTTTTTATATATATCAGGTTTAAAGCTTTTTTCACTTCTCATGATATTTTACTTGGCAATAGGCATATGATGGTCAGAGTTCAGATATCTTGAAATGGACAGTGATTTGGCCTTTTAGGCTTTGTATAATTATATGGTCCGAAGTGATTTCACTTCTGGGGTTTGCATATGTGCATGAGTGTGCCTCTTTTAATTGTTGGATTTACATCTTTCTTTGACTGGCCCGACTAAATAAAGTTTCCTCTATAACTAATTACACCTTTGCCCTGCTGGTAGATTTGTCTCTCCTTCCAGTTAAAAGTACTCAAAAGAGTTAATGCGATTTTTTGGTGTGAAAATACATAATTGCTTTTCTGAGTGGACCCTGAGATACTGGGTTTTTTAATTCACTAGCCTAGGCAAATGTACATGGAGTTAGATTCAATCCTTTAGAGAAGTACCCTCACCTGTGATGTTGTGCAGACCTTGAAAGATTGTCAAGATGCTCTGTCAAAACTACAAGAAGAAATCCCCAAGGATGGCAAACCTGCTTGGACTACTCCAGATGCCCAGGAATGCATTAGCAAGCTATGCAGTGAGTTCCAGGCTAAAATGTCAGATGACTTGAGCACTTCACTTATTCTGACTGGGGCCTTTCTAGAAGCATTGAAGTTAGTAAACAATTTGTTGACCATGCTAAAGGTATTTGTTTTCCTTTCATCATGCTAATTACTGTCTCCCCCCCTCTATATATATTTGATCATGTCTTTGTAGGATAACATATATATGCTCTTGTAATTTGACAGAAGAAGCAACAACAGAAACAAAGATTATTGGTAATTCAATCCCTAATAGAAGTTGAGAAAGAAGTTAAGAAAGTTTTGAATGTTCTTGGGTTGCAACCTCCTTACTCTTATACTGAGGTGATGGGTTCTATTTTATTACATGATGTTATAGATTCATGCCTTCTGTCTAAGTTTAACTCTAAAGATGAATTTTCTGCTGAACAGGTTTTGCTGAAATTAAAGGAGAAGGCATTAACAAGAGCAGGGTTGGTGGAAGATGATGTGGTGCATCTAATTAATGAAAGAGCGGAAGTGAGGAGAAACAAAGATTTCTTGAGAAGTGATCAGATGAGAGCTGATTTACAAGCAAAGGGCATTGCACTCATGGATGTAGGCACAGAAACGATTTGGAGACCTTGTGTTCCTGTTCAACAAGAACCGGAAGTAGTGCCATCAGGAGGGCAGAAGGTGCCTGCTGAAACTGGACAAGAAAAGAAGGCATCTCTTGACTCCATTTGATGGACAAAGCATGCGGAATTGGTTGGTAAGGTGATGATTATTTACTGTTAAACTCTTTTTGCTGGGACCAAGGCCATGGGCAGTTTTGATTCATAATTTGAAAAATGTGGGGCCTTTCCCTTGTGACCCTATTAAGCTTTAGTGAAGAACCATGGGGTCTTAAATTTGAATTGATGGCCTTGTTTGTATTTGGCCCTTTGGCTGCAGAGACGGTCAGCGAGTCAGATAAATATATATATATATATATATATTTTTTTTTTTACCTTGAGAAATTACAAAGATGATAGGTTCTAACCCTTGATGATATGAAAGTTAAAGTCCCAGATGTGGGCATTCTAAATCTGAGTGGCTCAAATATAGGCACATTAGGTATGTATTTTGAGAAACTTTAAAGTGTAGAATGGGCCTGGGGTGTTTTGTTTTGGGGTTCCTAACTCTTGCCGAGTTTGGAGGGCTCTCTATCTTGGGTGATTATTGGATGGGCGAATCGTCCATAAATATAACTTTGCCTTGCATAGGGGAAAAAAATCCAGGCACATTTACATAACTAAATGTGCTTTCCTGATTATCTTCTTGGGCAATATTCGTTCGGAGGGAAGGGGGAAAGGTGGGGGATAGATAGGAAAATGGAAGGAAATTGGTTTCCTTTTCTTTTTGTCGCAAAAGAAAATGGAGAGATAAAAGTGGGAAGTCGTAAAACCAAGTCATTGTTTTTCTTTCTTAATTTTTGGACAAAATTAACAATATTATGATATTTTACGAAATACTTTATTAATACAAATGACAAATTTGTATCAATGTATTTTCAATTTCATTAATTTTTTGAATAAAAAGTAATAAAATTAAAATAATTAAGGAAAATTTTTTGTTAATTCAAAGGATAAATTTCAATTAATTTTGTTCCTTTATATTAAGAATCAAAACCAATTTAAATTAAAAGCATAGTGACAAATTATTGGGAAAAAATAGTGACAAAATTCATTGAAATTGAAACACAATGATAACATTTAATTTTAACTCAAAGTACAATAATAATTTTGATCTTAATCCCTTTGTTTTAATAAAGCTACCAACTTATTCGATTTTTTATTTCTTGTTATTTTCTTTTTGTCTATTCGGTCTTTCTTTCCATTTTCTCCTGCCGAACGAAATGTTTAATGGATTGGGCTTTTTCGTGAGATCAAGATTCAAAAGCAGGTTTGAGCATACAGCCATTCATCATATAGGCTGGCTGGCGGCGCCACGTGTCTCGCATCGCCCGCTCACAATCTCTCTTCCCACAGATAGCCTAATAATCTAGAAAATAAAATTATTTATGTATATGCTTGCCTAATAATCTAGAAAATAAAATTATTTATGTATATGCTTGCCAATTCAATCTGTTCATGTATTAAACGGCCCGTCAAGCCCTCATGTTTGTCTCAACTCGAGCTGAATTTTGGACAAAATCTTCCAAATATTACTTTATTGCCTCGAGTTGAGTGTAGAACTGAGCGGTCCAAGTTGCAGGCCCTAGGATATTGCTGTGGCAAAGATATTGCCGGAATTTTCATAATACCACCATGTTCAACACTCAACACACTAGCTATGATCGGACTTGGCTTACTGTCTGGCAAATTAAAAAATGGCAAATTAAAAAAAGCTTTTGATAGGTAAAAAAGTTTTAATCTAATTATATTAATGGAAATAAAATTAAATAATTGATTAATAACATATAAGATAATAATTTAACATGATTTAATTCAATCGATTTACATTTAAAAATAAAAAAAAATTCATTAGTTATAAAAAATTACATCAAAATATCAAAATAATCATTTACAAGTAATATTCATAATTTTTTTAATTTTTTTTAGTTTTATAAAGTATTTTTAATGTAAACATATATTCATATGCACTCATTTATCATATTTATATGAACCTTTTTAATCTTTTTTAGTTTACTCACTACACCATACCTATGTAGATCATTTCATTTTTTTAGTCTATTTAAACATACATTCAAATATATACACTCATAAGATATAAATTTTTAGTAATTTTATAGTGTTTTCTTATAAAATCTTATAATTTTTTTACATATTTTTTTCATACTTAATTTTAGAGAGACTTTACCTTTATAAGTATACTAGCTTATTTATTAAGAACCTCTTTCTTATTAATTTTTTTTTTTATAAATCAAACTTATTTAATAAATTTTTTTTTCTCTTAAAATTTTTTTTTTCAAAATTTTTTTTATTCATCAAATAATATCTAATTAATTTTAAATAAATTTTTTATAAGATTTAAATCAATATTTTTAACACCATTGATGTCGACGGTGGCGGTGGGAACTTTCCAAGTCTGTTATAAAGGAACAAACGTGGGGTTTGTGCTTGCGAATAGCTGATTGTATTGTAACTTTACATAAATAGCCTAAAAAGTGTCTCAAAGTGGTAGAAACTTGGCAGAGAAAAAATGACATGTCTATCTTGCTAGCTAACGATTGTACTGCACAATAATTTGTCCGAATAATTTTGTACAGTTTTTACAAGCAGAAAGAGAAGTGATTTCAACCATTTTAAAAGGAGAAATGCAAATATTTGATTCATTAACCAATTTTCCGCCCTGTTTGGGCTAATTTTTTTTTGCATTAACCAAAGAACGACTTGTGAACTCCGTTTCATGGTTGTGGTCTAGAATTGGTTCGGGCCTTAGGCCGCTTTTGTGCAACATGTGTGACGGGTTTTTCGACCTAAGTTTATCGCATTTACATCACAAAAACCAATGTTTTAGTTTTCAAATTATAAATACAATAAAAATTCTACAAATAATAAAGATTAACGTCACAAATAATTTTGAATTATAATAAAATATTTAATGTGATAATTAAATTTTAAAATTTTTTAATATAATATTTAAATTATAAATTTATTAATTAATATAATATTTAAAAAATTATTTATTCATTACATATTATTATTTGAAATTAATTATATTAAAAATGAGTATCATATTAATTAATAAATTAATATTTTAAATATTAAAAATTTTAAAAATTTAGATCTCATATTAAAAATATAACTATAATTCAAAGGCTATTCATAATATTAATCTAAATAATTAAATATTACATTCATATAAAAATTATTTAATTAAATCAAACAAATAAACTAATACATAATCAAACAAATTTAATATAAATTTGATTAAAATTAATATTTTAATAATTAAATTGTGAGACTTTTGGTTTTCAGCTGGACCAGTTCAACAAATTAAACTATTGAATTCAATTAAATTGCTATTATTTGTTAAAATGTTATTTTAATTTAAATAAATATTTAATGTAGTCGATATTTAACAACGTGTCATTACTGAAAAAGTAAAAGATTAAAATTTTAAACGTTAAATAATGAAATAAATGCTTAAAATGGATTGATGTCTAATTCGGTTTAACCCGATGGTTGATTGATTCTTGACCTATTTGATTTTCATCCTACTCAAATAACCTTTCGGACTAGAAATATGATCTGTCCCATTTTTAAATAATAGACAAAAATTGGTAAAAATTATCGTAAAATATAATTTTCATGCAAAAATATTATTATTATTATTATTATTATTATTATTATTTTTGTTGGTTAAGGCTAGAGAAGAGGAGAGAAGATAGCGTTCAGCCATATACACTGTGAACCTCTTGGTCGGCTTTGGGTTGATCAATTTAACAAATATTAATATCGCACACTTTTACTCAAAAAGTTAAGTTGAAATTTCCTTTTGAAGATGACTGGGGCCAACATTTCAGTAGTTACCAAAAATTTAAATGTTGTGCTTGACACCTTTTTTTTCCTTTCAATTCCCAAGTAATTTTTAATCATAATATACGTATTTAATTCAATGCAAGGCCACGAAAGCACGAGCTATAGAATGGATATATTTGAAGAAAACCAAAATTAGACAACTAAAATGATTTTTTTGCCATATGTATTAGAGCAAACAATTACTCTTACAATGATGACATTGAACCTTACTCTTTGAAAAAAAAAAAAAATGAAGCCCTTAAGATTGGAATAAGTCATGATTGCTACGTGATCTGCTAGCTAGAAATGAATCCCATTGTTTCTCCCATAAACGGCGGAGGTCTTGTCCATAGGATCTAATCAAGTCAGTATACATGTTGCCTCGGGGGCTTTAAGTCATGTCCTTTTTCCATCTTTCCAAATTTCTGTCCCCCCTTTTGGTTGGAAAATGCGTGCAGTACCATTTGTTTGAAGTCCATGCCATGGGGCCACCAACTTCAAATCACCAACTTAACAATGATGTCGACTTTAGTTTCAAATTGAAACCATATCCTCCCAAATATTCTGTACTAGAATTTCGCTCTTTGATTTGCCAAATTAAATTGCACAATTTTTAGAAGTTTTTGCAGAAAAATATGCAGTTGGCGCAGTTGGAGTCGGTATTGATTTGCGAGTACGAATGCAATCAAGTTTCTTTGGTGTCATACAATTGGAGCGATGGGAGACAAAACATTAGAGCACATCATTATACCCTACCAAAAATGTATCATGGACCATAGCGAATACTTGCATTACCAACTTTTGCAGATAGCACATTAGGCTGTGGCATGCACTGACCCAATAATCAAAGGAAGTGGAGGCTTCCCAATAAAGAGCCTGACATATAACATTGGAAAAGCATATCAATGTTTGTTGGTATTCCTTTCCTACAACCTTTGTTTGCACCCTCTCTAGTCTCCAGGATGAAGCAATTGTACATGGCCTCAACACCTATGATCGATATAAGGAATTAGCTAGTGATGACAGGAAAAAAAACTGCGTTGATTACATGGACTATATATGTTTCCTATTAATTTGTTGACGGTATTATTTTCACAGGCTGCTGCATGCCTAGGTCCGTAATTTAAATCTTTCCTTCACCTCATTAATCTTGGTCTACAAGTGATTCTAAAAGTTTGTTTGCCTTAGTTGGAGCTTTTATAAATAATGCTGTTGAAGTAGAGATGTTCTAAAGATATTGTAAGAAAAGTTAAAATAGTGTTCGGCAAACTTAAGATAAGAGTGCTGTTGAATGTTGAAAAAATTATTTATATTATATTTATATATTTTAAATAAATAAAAAATCAATTTTATTAAATTAAATCACAAGTTTTTAGATAAAAATAAAAAATAAAGAGATATTTTTATTAATTATAATAAAAAATAAACAAAATAAAAAATAATGAGAAATAATATAGCATTCTTTTTAATTTTGTGAATTATTGAATAATAAATTGAAAATATAAAAAATTTTAATTAAATATTTGTTATTTAAACTACTACTTTTTAAAGAAATTTTTATTTATAATTTCATCAAAAATCTCAAATCTACTTCATGCATAAACTAAATTTTTAAAAATTTTAAGAGTCAAATGCCTTACTTTTGAAATCTAAAATTTAATTTAATTAATTCATATAATTATATTTAAAATATAATTTAGTGTATCTAAAATTAGAATCAATACATTTATAATTTTTTCATTCTCAAATCGTGAATATATATATAAATAAACTTCTTTTTTTTTTTTAATAAATAATCTCTTGCATAAGTGGA